GATGATCAATTAGAGAGTATTTTAACATTAAAATAACCTTTTCCGATGGATCTTTTAAGTACATTTTTAATTCTATATTTTAAGGTTGAAACCTTATATAAGCTTTTTTCTTAATTAAAAATTATTTATAATTGAATTATAAATTTTATTCATAAAAATTAATATGGGCCGTTATTTATATTTTAGTTTTTAAAATCAAAATTTTTATTCAAAATATAAGACACATTAACATTTAGGAAATTTTTTAAAACCAAGAAACTTTATTAATTAAATCAAAACAATTATATTTAAATTATAACTATTTTTATTCATTAATGAGTAAATAGGGTAATACACATTTCCAATAAACTAGTAAATACTTTAGGTGTTGCATTGCAACAAGAAATACTCGCATCAATATAATGTTAGACCTTTTATCTTAATAATAAATAATATCACCTTTAAATAGACTTTTAAAATTTTAATTATGAATTTGAAAATATTATTGTGTGATATAATTAATTAATAGATAGCTATTTTAAAGATAATAATTTGAAAATAAGAATCTAATATTATTTTAATTAAAGGTGCACAATAGTAAAAAAAATTATGAATTGTGTAGCAAAACAACATGTCGAAATTAAATAACTTTTATATTGATTTTGTTTCTTAATTATTTGTTTTAAAAGCTATAAATTTTATAAAGAAGATTAAATTTTTGAAAATTAAATCAGTTTTAAGAATAATTATTTCCAAGTATTTATTTCGAAAACTATAAATTTCTTATAAAAATCATTTTAAATGTCAAATTCTTAAAATTAGTTATTAAATGATTTTAAAATCAATAACATGAATTAAAATTTATAATTATAACTATTTAGTATTACAAATTAGACAATGTACAAATTACGTTAAAGAAAAGGCATATTATAGCAAACGAGAGATCAATTTATTGTATATTCCCTCTGGCATACTTCTAGAAATTTACAATTTACATTTTTAATTGTCATGTGATTAAAAAAAACGGTGAACGTTAGACTTATAAATTATAGACAAATAACTTTCATATTTCTTGGGGAGGATTAAATATATAATATACTTTTTTGTACTTTTTTTTTTTTCAACACTTTGACCACTTGAGATTTGTCCGGTTAGAACGATTGAATCGGCCGGTTTATCGGTATTACTTCGGGGGCCATGTCCGGTTAACTGTTTCGATTTGATTTTGCAAATTGTGCGGCACATGCCTAAAGCATTAAATGCTCATAACTATCACTTTTGATATTTTTTAAAGTAACCAATTATTTATGGAAAATTGTTTCATGCGGACTGTACTGCATTTCTACAATTGTTTTTAGATGGACCACCTATTTCCATCCACCTTTAAAGGTGGATGGAAATAGGTGGTCCATCTAAAAACAATTGTAACTAACGGTCCAAATGTTTTTTTAATACAATTATTATGTCTAGTTTTTATTTTTGTTCATATTCATGATCTCCATGTTAAAGATTATATGTTCTCTAAAATTTAGGATTAAATTATATTTAAAAAATATATTTATTGCCAAGCCCGCATTTCTACAATATGCTGGCTGGCCGCATAAAAACTGTCTATTATTTATTGAATAAGACACTATAGTTCACAAAATATTGTAATTGGAAGTCACAAGATAGAACATTAATGTTCACCAATTTTTATGTAAGTTATTTTAAATCAAGAAAATATGTGATATGCTTATTGAGGAGCATTATAAATAGGGTGTGGTTTTTATGAAGTTGCAACCTTAAACAATCCAATTAACGTGCACCTCCAAATTTTATTATAACATGTAATTTTGGTGTAAAATTTTTTTTTGGATTATTTGAAAATCTATTTTCATATCTAATTATAAAATTTTAAACTCCATAAATAGTTAAAATCAAGTAGATCTATAAACATATGAAAATCTTGAAAATGGACGGCCTAGATAATGTGTTGAAAGATGCAATATTTCTAGGACTCAAAATCTCCTTTTTTTTTTTTTTTTTTCATATTTATACATCTCGATGTTGAGATGATCAATTAGAGGGTTTTTTGACATTAAAACAACATTTTCCAATAGATTTTTTAGGTGCATCTTTATTTCGACATTTTAATGGTGCAACCTTATATAAACTTTTTCCTTATAAATAACATGTTTCTATGAGTCCACGGACTAACATGTATAAATGTAGGCCCCTTAATAATTTATTTTTGATATAGAAGTTGATCTTAATTTATAGGGAATATATAATCTTTAACTTGACGATTATTAATCTATAAAAATAAATAAATTTAAAAAGTTAAAAATAATATTTTTTGAAAAAACTATTTGAACAATTGATTTTATTTTTTCTTTAGAGGAGTACTATAGATCTCCAAAACCGCATAATAACAGATGCCGGGCTTAGACAACAAAACAAGTTTCCCCATTATATGTCCAGTTTTGCGCACATGCCTGTAGCATTAAATTCTCATAAATGTTGCTTTTTATATTTTTTAAACAACGAATTCTTTATTGAATAAGACAATATAGTCAACAAAATATTGCAATTGGAAGTCACAAAGCTAGAACGTTAACGCTTTACCAATTTTTATGTAAGTTAGTTTGAATCAAGAAAATGTATAAAATAAAACCATTTATCTTTTAGAAAAAAGTTTATATAAGGTTGCAAAGATGCACCCAAAAATCCATTGAAAAATGTTGTTGTAATGTTGAAAACTCATCTAATTGATCATCTCTAGATTGAGATGTATAAATATGAGCAAAAAAAATAATCCTCTCGACATCGAGATGTATAAATATGAGAATATTTTTTTTTTTTTGAGTCCCAACAATAGTGCATCTTGTAAAACATTATTAAGACCGCCTATTTTCAAGATTTTCATTTGTTTATAGATCTACTTGATTTTAGCTATTTTATGGAGTTTAAATTTTTATAATTAGATATTAAAATATATTTTCAAATAATCTTAAGAATTTTTTACATCAAAATTACATGTTATGATAAAATTTGGATGTGCGCCTTAATTGGATCGTTTAAAGTTTCAACCGTATAGAAACTACACCCTATCTTTTATTTAAGGAGGCCACAATTATTTTCTGCTGTTAGATTTGGAATCAGCAGGATGAAAGTGTAGCATGGAACAAGCTCAAATTTTTTTTAAAAAAAATCACGAACTTTGTAACTTACTCTAAGCTATGGGGTTTGACATTTGATCGCTAGGATTAGTTATGATCTCCTTGTTTTAAAGATAAATGGTCTTAGAGTATACAATCCCTTGAATCAAATATCATTTAACTAATAGACTAAAATGACTTTAAATCACAAATTTAAAATTTTAATCGAGCAATATGTTAAACTAAATAAATTAAATTTAAATTATAACTATTTTTAATGCCAAAGGAAATGCATATAATTATTTATCCAAAAAAATAAATATATACAATCATCCACAAACTTCTCTTAAAATAAAATTAATTTCATTATGAATAAACTTATTTTAAATAAATTTTACTTTGCATGATGCATATTATTCCTAGTATTTCTTTTTAAAGGTGAAAATTTTATACCATAGTTTATATGTTTAGTATATGGCTACAACAATTCCGTTTTCGTCTAAGTATGGAACATCAAATATTGTATTTGAAATAATCCTTTGACTCTATACAATTTGACTATTTACCTTTGATACAAAGTGGTCACAATGACTTATAACCATCCAAATTGAAGTTTGATAGTTTGGATGTATCACACAGAGTTAAAAACAATTATTTTGAAGTTGAGCTTGAGCAATGAAATAATTGCAGCCACCTAATTTCACATCTAATAGTGAAGATTAATAAGACCTTCTTATATCAAATGTCAATGGTCTCATCTATACTTTTCCATTTCCAAATGCCAAAGTCTTTAAAGTTAATTAATAAATGACATTGACATAAATTGATAGCATACTGAATACATAGTTACAAATACATAATTATCTTTTCACAAACGGTGGAGAGATAGCATACTGAATACATAGTGCCGCATTCGTGGTTAAAAGTGGGTTCTTAAATTTTCCATCTTAAAAACTAATTATCGGTTCTCTGGTACAATATGCTCTCATGGGAGTATATTATACACATTTTATCACATTAAGTTAGGCAAAGTTACGGCATTTATTGCCACTGTGGCGGAGACCAGTGTTTTAAAACCACGATTTCTGATCCACATCGCTTGCCCGGAGAATCAACCGAGGTGGTATGGTCTTGAACCCCCAAAAATTTCAATTATATATATATATATATATATATATATATATATATATAGTTGAAGTTTATCTAATGTTTTTTAAATCTCCTCTAAATCCCCACCCACCCTATAAACTTCATTTTTTAGGTTTTATTTTATAAATTTATTTTTAATAGTTTTTGCATTACCATGTAGATATGATCTAGATCACCAATCCAACAATATGATACGGGTTTGTGAGTATAAACTTGATACACCATATTGATCTAGGTATTAAAAATGGAAAGCTAGCTCATTCAAAATTCATCTCTAACACCCATTTAGTTACACATTTTGGAACAGGACGACACGTGAATGCACAAGTTGAGCAAGCCCATGCACTCAAATCCCATCCCTTCTCTTTTCTTGTTTGGTTATAAAGTTGCAACCTTATTTGTAGAAATAAGATTGTGACATTCTCTGCCATCCATTTTAATTAAATAGTATAAACGTGATACATGTTTCAAGATGTGCCAAAAAAGTATGACATCTTTAAACACAATACCAAATCTATACCATCGAAACAAAATAAATGATACCAACAATTTAAAATAGGGTTGCAACCTTATATAAACTTTTTCGTGTTATGCACTGCAAAAAGATCCCTATGCTATGCCAGTTGCTAGCATTTTTATCATTCCATAATCATTTGCCGGCAAAGAGTTACATAGTTCAAAAAAAAAAAAAATGTGGGACAAAAGGAGAAAGAAAACAAGTGTTTGTTTACATCTCAAAAAAGTTGCAAGCATTTTATACCCTTGAGAAAGAAAGAGCGATGGAATCAAACACAGATAAACAGAAGAGAGGGAAGATGGATAGAAAGCCTTCAAAGGCAAGAAGAACAGGATGGATAGAGAGAGGGTGGAGAGAGAGAGAGGTTGGGGGGATGAGAGAGAGAGAGAGGTGGGAAGTGTATAATAATTATTGAGAGAGAGAGAGAGGTGGGACGGGTATAATAATTATTGAGAGAGAGAGAGAGGTGGGAAGTGCATAATGATTATTTAGTAAGCCCCTTTCCCTTTGTTATAGAGCCTAAAGAGATTAAAAGCAGAGAGCCCCGATAGAGTGACCATGCTCAGGCTCACTACAAATGCACTAACAATCCCGTCCCCAACTTGGGTACAAAATTTTCCATAGAAATTGCAAATCTTCATCCATTGAACATCTTGTTGCCCCTTCTCAGCTATGGCAGCTGATTGCGTTGCTGCCGCGGCCGCTGCTAAGCTTGCATAAGCCATCACCTGTTTGTTTTTACACAAGACTCGAATTTCATCAAAGGTCACATAGATATATACTCACTACTCCAAGATTCTTTGGCTTTCATTACTATTTCCTTTAGTGTCTGTCCATTATTTACTTTTGTAAGGGTAGCATTGATCAATTGTTAAAGGCAAATAGGAAAATATTTTAGGAAAATTTATCAAAGTAATTCGATATGAACCATTTGACATCTGACCAACATTGTTTAATGTTATTCCAAGATATCCATGAAAAAGCACATGATAATAGGTTGGAATAATTGTAAATGTGTAACCTATTAAATAGCGGAGAAAATGGATATCTCATCTGGATTTTTAGAAAGGGTGAAGTTTTTATAAGACCTAAGCTTTATGAAAACAAAATAAAGATTTAGAAAGAATTTTCGGTAATAAAAATCTCTATGATGGATCTAAATCAATTTTCAACACTGATAATAACATTTGAAACTCAAAAAATGGTGTACATCTTATGAATTTATGAAAATTATTTTTAAAATGAAATAGACGGTCTAAACAATTTGTTATAATGCACACGACTTTTAGAGCTTAAATAATATGTTCAAGCTGAGGTGATCGATGTAAACGTTTTCCAACACTTGAATAGTAAATTTTCGATGAATTGTGACGTGCGGCTCTATTTATTTTGATAGACTATAGTCCTATCAAACCATGTTTCTTTCATAAATTTCTTAAATAAGGCCAAATTAAATCTTCGAAAAGGCCAGTTTTTAGGGTGCCCCATCTTGGTCACTGTTCCGTGTTTTAAATCACTGTCAGAAACACATTTAATGCTCTAGAGGATGTGCACCGTGTGGTTTTCACATCAATGACGAAATCACGGCCGGGTGGCCAACATTTACTACGCATCCTACTGCATGCTTGCCTGTGGCACAATTCTTGTATACTACATGCATTAATAGTTTAATACTTCCTTATATGATGTAGGTATCCGCGGTCCTGATTTAATAGACAGTGAAAATTTATGCCTTCCCTGCACCATTGCCCCATTTCCACCGTTCATCATTTAGACGGATAGCGAAGATTACATACGGGACACAAACAATATACTACATGTTAAGCTCGTGAACTTCGCCAAAATTTTCTTATAGAAAGCATCTTCATTCTCATCCGTGAATCACTCATATATAGGATTAGAGGCTAGTATTTTGCTTTTTTTTTTTTTATTTGAATTTTTTAAACATTAACATGTAGCTAGGGGCTAATATTTACTAGTTTCTTTTGGGCTAGTATTTATTATTTTTTTATTTTAAAGTCAAACAATAACTGCATGCCAAAATATTTAATTTTGGTCTAAATCAATTTTATATGATTTTTCCTATACATGGCCAATCTTTTTATTTTTTCAAACTTGTATAAACCTTTTCTTTTAATTAAACTTTAAAAATAAGGCCTAGTTTGTACCAGGTTGCAATTTTAAACAATTAAATTAAGATGCACCTCCAAATTTTATCATAAATATAAATTTAATATAAAAAATTAGGGCAACGATTTCATGCAATAGGATGCATTATAGTATAATGCAACAACATTTTTAAAAATTTTATCATAAATATAAATTTAATATAAAAAATTAGGGCAACGATTTCATGCAATAGGATGCATTATAGTATAATGCAACAACACTTTTAAAAAATCATGTATGTGGTATTTGTATGACCCAAAAATTTTTACACACATTCTTGTCATCTCAATAATCAACTCCAAAAAAAAATAGTTCAAATTGAACTCTAGATATGATTAAAATAAATCCCTTCCAACAACGAATCTAGACCATTTATTTGGTGAATTTCAAGATCTTAACCTTTTCAAACTCCAAATCATTTTTTTCTTTTTTAATATTATTCATTTAATGATAGTAAAACCATCTAAAATAATTAAAAAAAAAAAAATCCTTTTAAAGCCTAAGTCTAAACATCTTATCAAAATGAACGGCCTATGTTAATTAGGCTAAAAAAAATACTTTCTAAACTTCGTTTTCATTTTTTTTTTGTGATTATTCATTAAAATAAAAATAGTGTATATTTCAAATTTTAGATCAAATAAATGGCTTTAACATACTTTTAAAAGTTGTTGCACTATACTGTGATACAGCTTTTAAAAGTTGTTGCATTATACTAAGATACAACTGTTGCATGAAACCACTTATGCTTTGAAAATATGATTATTGGGTTTTCCCACATCAAAACAACTTTGTCTAACAGATTTATGAGGTGCACCTTAATTCTACATTTTAAAGAAGATGCAACATTATATAAACTTTTTTCTTAAAAGAATACATTTTATGACATATCATATGAGCTTCAATTGTCATTTATTACATAATATGCTAAGCGATTGGCATTTTGGATTGGTGATTTGAGAGAGCACCGAGCAGTGGTAGAGGGAGAAAAAGGTGGGATTTTATCACCTGATCGCAAGAGAAAATGGCCCAAGCCAGAGACTTATTGAAGAGGACACTTCCCTTGAGCATGCTCACAGCACATCGGAGGCCTTGGACCAAGGAATAAGAGGCCACTATCCCATTAATGATAACTAGGAACCTGCCATCAAAGAGGAACCATTACTTGACTAAGAAATGAGAGATTGAATGAAAAAATAAAAGGAACCATTACTTTTCATATTTTATTAAAAAAATTTTGTTTTATTTTTTTTGTTTTCTAATACTTGTTTTGACAGCCGGGACTTGTCCAATTGGGCCAATTGAACCAACCGATTTACCGGTTAATACTGAATAACCGCTTTTGACACCATGTCCGGTTACGGTTCAATTTTTATTTCTCTTTGAGAGAGCACCCAAAAGAAAAAAAAAGAAGAAGAAGAAAAAGACAAAAAAAAGAAAAAGAAAAAAAAGAAAGAAAAAGGAAAGAAAAAAAGAAAAGAAGGTTGGGGGGAGAGAGAGAGGGAGAGCCTACATAAGAGCTTTCATGTCAGTGAACTTGGCCTTCTTCTGAATGGAAAATATCTGCCTTGTCTGAGTATCAGTCCCCACAAGAACAGCAGCAAGCAACCCCAGCCCACTTATCACACACCTTAGCACAACCTCAGCCACTCTCACCCTCCTATCAACCACCCTCAATTTGCTTGAGTGATAAACAGGCACACTGCCAGGACTCATCCCAACTCCAACCCCACTCATCTTCACTAAGAATCTCAAACCCAACTAAGATCACAACCCCAAAAACCCCACAGCCCAAATGTCCTAAGAGCTCAACCCCAAACACCCCACAACCCAAATGCCCCTTTTGAATCTCAATGCCCAAGCTCCTTCTTTTTTATAGTCATATAGAGTAAAGGCCTATATACAATAACCCCACAATAATGCCTCATCGGTACCTAGTGTACCATCTACTCTCACTTGTCTTGGAGAGAGAGAGAGAGTAAAGCTCACCCTGCCCCACAAACGATGGCATTTAGGGTACCTTCAATTTGCTGCCCTAGGATAGGGTCTCTTTCTTGGGGTATGGGAGACCAAGGTGATGTTGTTAAACCCAAGGAAAGGAGGGGTTTTAATGCTTATTTAAGAGAATAGTAAAATTGATTGATGTTCATGACACCTAGCATTGATGGCCTGATTTCACGATCAGATTCCTCTTTTTCCTAATGAATAGTAGACATATTTTAGAGAGGGAAACACCAAAGAAATGTGGTTGGTGTTTTTTTTTGCTTTAGTACTTTTATCCTCTTTTACTTTCTTGACTTGTTAGCTCTTCCTCCTGACTTAGATGGGAAGGCAATTTACCGGAAAAAAAAAACAAAAAGAAGAGATACCAGGGTTGAGCTTGTGTTGAGTTGTTTTTTTTTCCAGATAACTAGAAAAGAAAAAATAAAAGTTTATATAATAAGATTGACAACTTAAAAGGTAGAATTAAGGTGCACTTCTAAAATCCTTCAAAAAATGTGTTTTGATATTGGAAAAACATTTAATTGATCATCTTGCCATTGAGAAGTATAGAGATGGATAAAAAAAGGAGATTTTAAATCTTAAAAATAATACATCTTGAAGTACATTAGTTAGACTATTTATTTTAAAAATTTTCATGAATTTGATTTAAACCATTTTTAAAGTTTAAAATTTTAGAATTTGATAGTTTAAAGTTGCAACCATATACAAGAATACAGAATTGTTTACTATGAGAGAAGATATTTTTGCTAAAGAGATCACATTTGCTAGTAGCTTTTAGATATTGAATTGGATGGTTTAGATTACGACACAAAATTCAAAATTTATTTTTTGAACTTTGTGTCAATAATTCATTTATCTGACTTTTGTAACGGTGGGTGGTGGGTTTTCTTGTTGGTAGTGGGTTGCTTTCCATGGTGGGGCGATGCTTTTTCAGTAGTGGACTGCCTTTTCTCACGCATAAAATCATTGTATGATTCTTTTTAACTTATTAGTGGATATGGTGTGAACTTGATAATCAAAGAAAGAAATAACCTCATGAAGCACACGTCTTGCTTGCGCACATAACTCCATTAATATTATCATTATTACGTCATGAAAGTCTTCATTTCTTCCTCTCCCTAATAGCTTGAATATCACAGGTGTCGTGTTATGGCATAAAAGCTCAAAGCATAAATTTGACAACTATAAGACAGCACCCGTTAAATTTAGCTTTGGGCTTTCATGCAATAACACAACACCTGCGATATTTATGCTATTAAGGGTTTAGTGGTTTTGGGTTTGTAGGGTTTAGAATTTAGAGCAAAGAAAAAAGAAATCGGACTTGGCTCAAGATAGTAGTAAGCGGATTTTCGTAACATTACGTCTCAAGTTTCATTTTTATGTAACCTCGTCAAAACAAAAAAAAAAAAAAACAAGGAAAGAGATATATGAACTACTGTCTCGATAAACTGCTCAATATTAAGAGTGCTCGTCTTTGATTAGTCAATCACATTAAGTATTAAGGAAAGTATTGTTCTCTTATTAATGTCATAGTTGGGTGAGAAAGTGATATGTTCGAGCAATGATCTAATGCAATGGTTGTATTATAGTATAATGCAATGAAATTTTTAGAAAATCATGTTTGTGGTATTTGTATGACTCCAAATTTTACACACACACTCTCTTCATCTCAATAATCAATCCCTAAAAAAGAAAAATTAAATTTGAACACTAGATATGGTCAAAATGAGTCCTATGAAAAAATGAATCTAGACCATTCATTTTGTGAATTTCAATATCTTAGTTTTTATAAACTCAAAATCATTTTTTTCTTTTTTAAAATTGTTCATCTAATGATAATAAAGCCATACAAAAATTGGAAATGAAAAAATCCTTCTAAGGCCTAGATCCAAGCATCTCACCAAAATGAACGGCCTATGTTAATTGGGCTAAAAAATACTGTCTAGGTTGTGTTTTCAAATTTTTCCTTTTTGTAATTGTTCATTAGAATAAAAAGAGTGTATATTTCAAAATTTGGATCAAACATATGACTATAAGATGATTTTTTAAAGTTGTTGCATCATATTACTATACAACGATTGCATGAAATCATTGCTTGTGCTGTGATCCTCATGAGGTTGAAAATGTCCGTAGCCATGAGGGTCCACAGTGCAATTAACTGAATGAACTTTGATCCATAGAGAATGGGGAGCCATTGTTGGAGTCATGTTACATTCTGAATGGTCCACTCTCTCCTCACAGTCCAAGCAATTGGTTACATGGTCTTGACCCTTGAAACTCTGGACATTACATAACATGAATTCCAATGGTTACAATGATAACGAGTACTTTCCCAGCATATGGGTCATGTCAATTGGGTCAGGTCGAGCCTTGCGATTTGACCCAAGTCTGGTCTGAATCCAGACCCTACGCATTAAGTCTTGGTCCGTTTGATTGGGTTGGGTCCATGTCCGAGTCCAATATATGGAATTTTCGGTCATGTGGTGTCCGGGACTTGATCTGGCGTGACCCAACACGTATATTAAAATATGTATGATAAAAATCTATATTATATATATAAAATTTGAGTACCATTTTTTTTTTATATGTTTGCCCAAGCACGACTCGTCAGTCGGGCCTTGTTCCAATTGACCTACACCAATTGTAATTCAAATCTAATTGAGACCTAGTCAGGTCGGGTTCGAATCGGGGGCCATCAACCGTTGACAGCCCTTGATGGATGGCACAAATGCAGGATTATGAATACTTCCCCGATGGATGGCATAAATGCTCAATCAAAATGAGAGAAGGCACCATTGTACGGCCAAAGAACTTAAAAAAAAGAAATGGCATATGGTCCGAGTAAAAAAAGTGCAAGGGAGAGAGAACTAACAAGGGGATTTTTTATGTGAGAAAATTGGATACATGCCCTTCCGTTCCAATTTGTGATCTCATTTGTAGCCTACACAAAGTAGTTGAAAATTTCCACTCTTCTATCATGGGTTAACCTACATCCTACATGGAGTTAAAACAAAAGCATCTTGCTGCAAAAATAAGATGTGGATGAAACGAGGGCAATGAAATTAGAGGCCATGAAATCAAATCATGGAGGGTTGTATACCATAATAAATGTTCGATGTGGTGATATCCAAAATCACCTACACAAGAAAATCCCATGTTATGTGGGATTGAGATTGATATTAATAAGTTTTTTAAAAGAAATAGAAATCCAAAATGATTAAGATTCTGGGATATATCTCTTGGTTCTTGAGATATATGTAATACCTATTGGAAATTTCCTATTTAGTGTTGACTCCTAATCTTATATATATGGGATAAAAGTGCAGGGAATCTATATTTCCTATTTGGGTCACCATTGGGAAAGGGGCTTCCTCTAAAGAGAGAGGTTGGGCCTCCTCTGCTCTAGAAGCAAGGCCTCCTCTAAGAGAGAAGAGAGTTTCCTATGGAGATAAACACCATGGTGTGCCTCCTATAGATTGAGACGTTGGTTTCTTGAAGAGAAGCGTTTTCCATGAAGATTTTGGGTGGTTTCCCCTTTAGTGAGAAAAAATCTCGATTGTTCTCAAGGTTCTTTTCTTGGATAGCGGTTTAGCTGTGGAATAGAGATGTATCTTTTCTTGGGCAGTTGTTTAGCTGTGGAAGATGAGTCTATTTCTATATAGTGGTTTGGTTGTAGAATAGAGATGAGATATCAGCGGGTCGTGCCGATCGGGAGAGCAGATCTAAAAGGTCTACTCGACGAGTTTTTATTGAGGGTTAGAGAGGTAACACTATGTCCCAAAATCTATAATATAAATTTTATTGGTATAATAGATTTCAGTTTATCGTGCTTGTGGATGTAGCTCCCTCTTAGAGTAAACCCCATAAATCTTTGTGTTCATGTGACGTCTGTATTTCATGCTTTATTTCTCGTATGAAGGTTCATACTCTCTCCTATTTTATTTCTAGTCACGTAAGTGCACAATCTTGGTGGGATCCAACTTTAGGATTCTTGTTTCTGCATCTAAGAGGGTTCTTGTCACGAACCTACCCCCTACTCCCTACCGTACTTACCGGGGGGCAACAGGGTGCAGGACCTCGACCACAAGTAGCGAATGCCACTCAGGTGGAGTGCGCTCGACGCTTTGAAAAGAAAGAATCAAAGCCAGCCACGAACGAAAAAACAAACGCCAAGCACAACCACAAAAAAAATTTGGACAAAAAAAAGCCAAACTTCATTCATAAAAGTTCCAATTAATAACAAAAGAGTCCAAGACACCAAAGGCCCATCAACATTACATAGTAAGGATCACAAATTTTCCAGTCATGGGGTGCACACAACGATAGAGTCAGTAGAGAAGCATCACTATGTGTGTTGTAGAGGAGGCACACATCCATCACTAAGGAGGGACTATCGCCACATGTATAAGGGAGTATCGTCGCATGCGTAAGGGAGTATCACCACGCGCGTGAGGGACTATCGCCACATGTATAAGGGAGTATCGTCGCACGCGTAAGGGACTATTGTCGTACGCATAAGAGGTTATCGCCGCACGCGTAAGAGACTATCACCGCGCGTGAAGGTAGAAAAGAGTTGACGCCGTGCATGAAAAAGGAAGATGTGACCGCTGCCAGCACCGCACTTGTCAGTGCCGTACGTGTCAGCGATGTGCCTGCTAAAACAGTACACATCAGCTGCAGTGACCTTCACCTAACCCCTGAGTACTTTAGCCCTTTCCCTCCCTTCTTGCCGCCGTCTACCTCATTCTCCCACAACTTTCTTGACTCACTTTCTCTCTCTAGAGCCCAAGCGTGCGCCCTCTATTGCTGTTGTGTCTTTGAAGAGCCTATGCTTGGAGTAAGGAAAACCATCAAAGGCCGTGAGGGGAGGTCAAGGACACCGTGAGAGGAGGTCAAGGACACCGTGAGAGGCAAGGTACGTGGGTTTAACTTTTGTGCATCCGTGGTGGGTATGATAATAAAATGAAAATGCAATGTATGAATGCGTTGATGGGAGATTGCAATATTAGATTCGTGCTTCTCAATATCATGACTGTTTTAACCATCTAAATGAACTT